GACACAAGGCCAGGAAGAAGTGAAGAAAGACACGTAAGAAAGATTCCCTAAAGAGTACTGATAGCTACACAGAGACAGGCCAATAAAATCAAGAAACAGTGTAAGTCAGAAGGTAAACAACAAACATGATCAAAACCAAGTTACAATGATAAAATCATAAGTCAAAATAAGCAATCAGACTAAAGTCACTTCTCTGATCTCAGATTCTGGCCTCTCCACTTTGTTTTTCGTGGCAGCGTAGGGGTGGAGCTTTGTCTCCTGTTTCACGCTGTTGCCTTAGGAACTGAGGTAAAGTTTGTTGATAGGTGGATGGGGCAATGGAAACCTCTGCCTGGAGAATGGCAAGGCAGTTTATGTAGATCTGTTTTTCTCCACTTGTCTGGGTCCCCCGGCTTGGGGTCTCACGCTGAGTGTCTCAGCCAGGGTGGGCCCAGAGTTCCAGAGCTCCAAAGCTCCAAAGGGCAGGCGGTGAGCAGGGAGAGTGGCCCTGGGCCCCCCACAGGGTACTTTCGCCAGGAATGGGACCGGTGTCTGAGGGGCGGGTGCCCAGAGCCTCCCTGAGTAACCGGCGGCTTGGTGCTGGGTGACAGGCTGGAGACGATGTAGCCAGGGAGGGAGCTGGGAGGGGGATGGGGCCCGACTTCCATGCACGCAGTGGAACAGCAGCAGCAGGGGGCCGCAATATCTGGCCCTGCATGGGACCAAAGTCCCTGGGCCTTGCACCAGCATGGCTGGTGATGTGCTGGGGGTGGGGGAAGAGAGGTAAGAGTCTTTTGGGGAACTCACATGCGGAGAATCTCACAGGTTCACCTATGCCGTCACCATCTTGTTCCTCATGTTCTTTCTTCACCCTTTTCATGTAGTAAACTTCTTCCTATTCATCTTCAGAGCTTAAGATCCTCAAAAAGCTTTTTCCATTCTCCCTGGCCAGGCCAAATCTTCTTAGTGCATAATATCAAAGGACTATGTATTACCTCCACAACATTTATCACACTTTCAAGTGTACATGATTTTTTTGAATTTTTTAATATATCCCTCTCTCAGTACCATGAAATATCTATGAGGGCAGGGATGATTTCTAGTTTAGCTAAATTTTTATTTCCAGCATAATAGTTTTGGTCCTATAATTTTTTTCTTTCTTTCTTTCTTTCTTTTTAAGAGAAGTTGAGAGGGAGGAGAGACAGAGCATTCCAGGTTTGATAGAAATGGCTAGCTCTCCAGCAGAATCCAGTTTTCCCTCCTCCAGAGTAGATCTGTTGCTAATCAGCAATCTTTGCATCTAGGTGAGGGAATGTATTAGTTCTTGACAAGAGAATGTAGACAAGAATATCAAGAGTCAATTCTAGGCTTTTAAAAACAGATATGTCTTCTCCATGCTCTCCTTCATCTTCTACCATGTGAAGGATAGTAAAGCCTTAGGGTAAATCAAAGCCACAAGATAGGTCACTGCGTGGAGAAAATAGTATGCAGATCAAAAGCACCTTCAATTTAATTATGTAATTTGGAGGTTTATTTGTATAGCAAATAGCATTACCCCAACCAATTCAGAAATCTGTATTTTTTTTTTTTTTGAGTTGGAGTCTCACTCTGTCGCCCAGACTGGAGTGCAGTGACTGCTCCCGGCCACTGCAGCCTTTACCTGCTGGGCTCTGGTGATCCTTCCACCTCAGCCTTCCAAGTAGCTGGAACTACAGGCATGCGCTACCATGCCTGGCTAATTTTTTTTATTTATTGTAGAGATGAGGTCTCGCCAAGTTGCCCAGGCAGGTCTTGAACTCGCAGACTCAGGCAATCCATTCACCTCGGCCTTCCAAAGTTCTGGGATTATAGGCTGAGCCATCGAGCCCGGCCAGATATCTGTATCTTAATGTACTGGTCTGAACAGAATCTGCATATGCATTGGCTTATCATTCAGGGGCAGGCAGGAAGGAAACAGCTATTTTTGAACAGAAAATTTAAGATGTACGTAATGCGGTGGCAAAATATTTAACAAAACTATAGCCTGCAATAACTTGAAAGACAGACCACATAGTTTTCAAGTTTATATCTCTAGGGCAATAGCTTGAAAGAAAAAAAATAGCATTTTGTGTTGATTTTTATTTATATTTAGCAAGGAATTTCAAGAAAGTGGTAAGCTCATGTGGAATCAACCTAAGTGTCCATCAACTAATGCATGGATGAGAAAAATGTGGCATGCGTGCACACACACACAATTATATACTATTCAGACTTAAAAAGGAAGTCTTGTCATTTGTGATGACATACATGTACCTGAAAGACAAGTTAATTAAACAAGCCAGACATAGAAAGACAAATAGCACGTGATCTCACTTATATACAGAATCTAGAAAAGTCAAACTCATAGAAGCAGAGAGTAAGATGGTGGTTGTCAGGGGTTGGGAGTTGGAGTTTGAGGGGAGGAATGAGGAAATGCTGGTCAAAGGGTACAAAGATTCAGGTAGACAGAATAAGTTCTGGAGATCTAATGTACAACATGGTGACTATAGCTAGTTATTATGAATTATATACTTGAAAATTGCTAAGGCAGATCTTAAATGTTCTCGTCACAAAAAATGATAGGTATGTGAAGTAACAGATATGTTAATTATCTTAATTTAATCACTTCACAATGTATACATATCAAAACATCATGTTGTACCATAAATATATAAATTGTTAATTGTCAATTATACTTTAATAAAGCAGGGAAATAAAGAAAAGAAAGTGATAAGCTCAGAAAAGAACTCTCTTGCCTATGCAAAGTATACTTATTCAGAGAACTAAGGCAAGAACCCACTTTTCTAGAAAATTTTCTGTAAGCACTTCCATATTCATGACTCTTTTCCTTATAGAAATCCTATAGTGTTTTATAACCTAAATATTTATTAACCAACTGTTATGAGCCTATAAGAAAATAATCCTTTATTCTTTCCATGTTCAATGCTACAGATGTATTTCTATAAAAATCTATCTCTTGATACAAAAATAATCCTGTTAATTTACCACCGATTGCCCCTCCAACAGAAGCCCTAAAAGTAAGAAACCCAGAGTTGGAGGTGGGAGAGAATTAAAGATGGGTTGAAGTACAATTCTTGGTAGAATTCATTTGAACAAAAGGGCTCTTTACACCTATCTTTAAATGGACCAGCCAAATTACAGTTGGATTACAGATGTCTTAGGATAAACATTAGTGTCTTATAAACTTTAACCCTTTCTCTTCATTCTGAATTTTACATATTTGGTTTACTTGTTTTATCTTAATAATCCACTCACACAACACCAATGTTAGGGAAGCACAGTATATGGCAGACCATGTGCTAAATACTAACAATTATCAATAAGCAAGATCAATAGGTCCTTGCCATATGGTATGTGTATATGTACAACACGTAGCAATGTCCATGTGTATGTTTAGATAAATTTTGTATAATAGAGTATGGTTGGACCTGGTGCAATGGCTTATATCTGTAATTTTAGTGCTTTGGGAGGTCAAGGCAGAGAGCATCACTTGAGCCCTGGAGTATGAGACCAGCCTGGGCAACATAGCAAGCCCTTGTTCTCTACAATAAATAAATAAATACTAAAAAATAAAATAAATAAAAAATATATACCAAAAAAAAGGGTGGGGCTAGACTAGGTAAATTTTGCTAGGCCCACCCTACTTGAAGGAGAGCCATAAACAGGGAACAACTTTTTAAACACACTATAAAACACTATCTATATAAGTGCAATATTCATAATCTATACCAGTGCTTTTTAAATATGAATCCCTGGATAGGTGGCAAGAGAGCTGCATAAGAATCACCTAGAAATTTGGTAAAGATAGGAAATTTCAGTATCTATCCTTAGTCATTTCAATTTAGTAGGACTGGAATAAATTTTTATAAAGCTCTACCTGAATGATTCTAACACTGGTAGATGTGGGCCCCTACTCACACAGTGCCTTGACTCGTTGCTTAACTGTTCTATATTTCTTTTACTATAGTCAAATCCTGTAAAGTACTACCTTATTCAGGACAAAAGTAAGTACAAAATTGTTTTCAAGTAAACAAAGGTATTTCAAGCTATAGTTTTTGTGTTTTTTTGTGTGTATGTGTGTGTTTTTAGGTGTATAACACATATCAATGTGCATGTATGTGTATTTCCATGTATAATAACACTTATTATCAAGAAGCTTTAACTTAGGGGCAGAAAAGACATGCTATTAGGAAGTACTTCTCAAAACGTAAGACACGGACTACTAGCAATAAAGTAGATAATTTGATATGGTATCCATAATGATTTTAGAAGTTACAGAGATTATTTTACATGGCACATAAACATACACCAGTTAATACTGAATCACAGGAAATATGTATTATCTTCTCAATTTTGTTTCAATCAGAAATCCTTAGTTAGCTATTGGTATGTCTCTTTCGTCTCTCTATCACTGCTTGTCCCATTATAAGAAACAGAATATGTCTCAGAGCCTTTGGCAAACAAGAGTATCTAATTGAAATTTAGTAACATTGCTTTGTTTTTAATGTATTTTTAAGTCTAACATACATGTAAAGCATACGATGATTTGTCATATACAATGGTGAGTAAATAATAAAGAGAAAGTTAAATTTTAAATATAGCATAAATTGTATATAAAAATTATGAAAGTGTTCTGTGAATGACTGAAATTAGGAAATACTCCTATGTAAGATATTACTAACAGTAACAACTGATTCTCTCATGCACATACACAAACATAAACATACACTAACATATTCAATAATTAGTTAAGCCAAATGAATAATCAAAAGTACAAACTATTTGTAGGAAGACATTAAAGAAAAAGCCTATCACACCACTTGACAAAGAAGCCAAAATAATGACATTATATATGACAATTATTATTTTTGCCTTTTTTACTAAACGCAGTTGATAATCCCTGTCTGACTGCACAAATATGAAATACACTTATGTTATCTGAAATCCAGGACAATTATGACTCTGCAATTTACCCTACACACCTTATAATCCTTGGGTCGGTAGCAGCCAAGATGAGAATGATCTGAAAAAGGAAGTACAAAATAATTAAAGTATAATAATTATAATAAATTAAAGTATAAACATTCCATATCAAAAATAAGAAAATTTGGTTTTATCTTTGCTTTTTTGCTACTATCATTGTTTCTACAATTATTATTCATACAGCATATTTCAGAGATACATCAAAATCCTTCAGTGGTGTCACATCAACAAAGATAAGACAGTCAGTTAAAATCTGCATTAGTTCTTCAGCCATTAAATTATTTCACACACCATTTTTATCTGAATATAGATAAGAATAACTTTTAGTTGATAAACCAATGTGTCAATATGAAATGGATAATTTTTACTTGATAACCAGCTTATGATTAAATATAATTTGTATTTACAAATTCAACAGTTATTGTGTAATGAAACTGGACCAGTTTTCAAGACTGGTAGCATATACTAATGTATAGACCTTGTTGGCAAATAGATCTGCAGTATCCATTTCAGGCCCAAGAACTGACTGTATAACCTTGGGCACGTAGCTTAACCTTTCTAAATCTCACATTCCTAATAAAGTCTGATGTATCTCTTTTGTAATATTGTTGTATAGATTATGTTAGATATTACATGTAAAGAACTAAGGTAAATATTAACTTATTACTAATACTATCAACAACATAATTACTATCAAATTTTAACTCAAACAAGCATGGGCTCAATTTCCAATTTGCCACTTATCAGATGTCTTGTTTTGGTCAAATTATATAAGCACAATTAATCTGTGATTTGGTCCTATTTTAAGAGTATGAAGACAATTGCTTACCTTACCTCAGAGAATCATAGTGAAGATGAAATAATATAATTTGTAAAAGTTCCTAGAAAAGTATTTGTCACATAATAATTTTAAAACTATTCTACCTGCCTGGGCAGCGAGACCTCATCTCTACAATAAATCAAAAAATCAGCCGGGTATGGTAGCTCATGCCTGTAATTCCGGCTACTTGGAAGGCTGAGGCGGAAGGATCGCTGGAGCCCAGCAGGTCAAGGCTGCGGTGGCCGGGAGCAGCCACTGCACTCCAGTCTGGGTGACAGAGTGAGACTCCAACTCAAAAAAAAAAAAAACTATTCTAAATTTCTCCCTAAGATAACACCACGAAATCGTACATGCAGATTTGGGGTTTTACTCATAATTTAAAGTAGTCAACTTTCAAGAATCAATTTTTAAGTATTAATATTATAATTTCTGTTATATTGACAGTCAAGAAAATCAGAACCTGAGACAATATCAAGATGACTGACTAGGGACATTTTGTGCTTCCTTCTTCCTCTAAGAAGAACCAAGATAGTGAGTAGATAAGTACACTTTGAATAGACCATCCAAAAGAGAATACTGGAATTCAACAGAAAAGTGATAGGCAACATCTAAATCAAGGGAATATGAGGAAGTGAGGCAGCCTGCTCAGCCAGGATTAGAAAATGAGAGGGACTTCTCGATACAGGGAAAGGGTAAACGAGAGACCCTTGGCAGTTCACATCTCCTGGTGTAGAGATGCAACTAAGATCTTTAGGACTGAGGTGTGAGTGAAGCACCATTCTAAAGACCTTCCTCCAGTAGACTGCACTATCCTGTAGCCCAGCATTTCTGAGACCAAGGTGTAACAGAAGAGCCAGCAGCAGACCCCAGGGCTCAGGCACAAGTGACCGCTGGCTACTGCACCCAGGGCTGATATGTGAGTACCACTGGGGCTGAGGAGTGAGGGGTTTGTGTACTACAAGTCCACCAATTTAGATTGTCATCACAGAAAGCAGCAGCACCCCACCTTCAGCAGCAGGGCACAGAGTGGACACTACTGCCCCCAATCTGAGCATTCTGCCAGTGGCCTGGGGATGGCCTCGCCATGCTTACCACAGCCAGCACCTGTACATACCACTGAAAGGCCTGAGTCAAGCAGACAGACCCAGCTTTGCCCCTTCTCCTCCCATGCCAGAGCACACAGTGTGGAGGCCAGGGAATTTCCCATCCCAGTTCACCATCACCGGCCCCTAAGCACTCTTCCTGGGGGCATGAGATTGGGTCTACCCACCTGGTCACTACTAGCACCACAACCGACACCTACTACACACACACCTGTAAGCCTAGAGACTGGGCTACCACACCCATCACAGCCACCACCACCACCAGTGTACAATACATGGGATTCAGAGGGTCATTCCTCCATTCTCACTGCTATTGCCCATGCCACACCAACTGCCCAAGAACTTGAGAACCTGCCCATCTGCCCACCTGCCCAGCCATGACTGTCACTATGATCATGTAAGACACTTAGAGATCCAAGGATTAGCCTGCCAAGACCAACTAACACTGCTGCCAGTATAAGCCACTGTGGGGACCAAGAACTGGAATACCTAGTGTTGCAGTCCCCTCAAAAAACTGTATCACAGCCTCCACTAATAACTGTACCCGAAGTCACCAAGGAAATCTCAGATACCACTGATAATGTTTACAGTCACAGAAATCATACAGAAACTAAACTACAGTATACACCCAGAAACAAAGCCAAAGTGTCCTACCCAATCAACACCATACATTAATTTTCATGAAAAAGTCCTCTCCTGTAAAAGCAAATTCAAAAATTGGAAGAAGGGATCGATACACTAGATACAGAGATATCAACATAAAAACAGAGGACATACGCATAAGCAAGAAAATATGAACCTATAAAGGGACACCTTAATTCTCCAGAAACAGATCCCAATAAAAAAAAATATGAAAGCATGGAAAAAATTCAGATTATTGATTTTAAAGAAGCTCACTGAATTACAATATAATTCTGAAAACAATTAAAAGAAATCAGAAAAAACATTTCATGACATAAATGAGAAATTTATAGAGATATATATCAAAAAACAAGCAAACAAATTCTGCAAGTGAAGAATTCATTGAAGGAACTACAAAATACATTTGAAGCTTCAACAGTAGACTATGCCAAACAGAAGAATCTCAAAACTTGAAGACAGTTTTTGAAATAACATAATCAAACAAAAATAAAGAAAAAAAAACTAATAAAGAATTAATAAAGACTTTGTGACACTGGAAACACCATAAAGTCATCAAATATATCAATTGTCTATACCCCCAAAGGTGAAGAGAGAAAAAAAGACTTTAAAACCTACTTAATGAAATAATAGGTGACAACTTATAAAGTCTAGCAAGAGATTTAGAAATCCAAAGACAGGAGTCTCAGTGATTGCTAAAAAGATACAATTCAAAAAGTTCTTCTCTAGGGCACATTATAGCCAAAATGTCTAAAGTCAATGACAAAAAGAGAATTCTAAAAACAGCAAGATAAAAGCATCTAGTCACCTATAAAGAAATTTTCATCAGACAATGGATTTCTCAGCAGAAACCTTATAGGACAGTAAAAAATGGAATGCTATATTCAAGATACTAAAAGAAAAACTGCCAGTCAAGGATACTCTCTCTAGAAAAATTATTATTCATAAATGAAGAAGAAACAAACTCTTTCCCAGATAGGCAAAAGGTAAGGGAATTCATTGCCACTAGACCAGCCCTACAAGAAATGCTCAAGAAAGTTTTAAACCTGGTAGTGAAAGAATGATATTTATATTATGAAACCATATGAAAGAATAAAACTCCATAATAAAGCTAACACACAAATAAGAATGAGAAAGAACTCAAATAGTATAACTATAGAAAACTGATAAACAACAATAACATTAAGAGAAAAAGAAAGGAACAAAGAATATATCATACAACCAGAAAACAATTAACAATATGACAAGGACAAAACCATACATACTAGTAACAATCCTTAATATAAATGGATTAAATTTTTATAAGACATAGACTGACTGGCTAAGTAGATAATAAAAACATGCTTCCTATACTAAATGTACTTTACCTGTAAAGACTTATACAGCCCTAAAGTAAAAGGATAGAAAAATATATTCTACACAAACAAAAACCAAAAGTGAACAGGAATACCTATACTTATATCAGATAAAACGGTCTTTAAGCCAAAAACAAAAGAAAAAAAAAAGGTGTCACTATATAGTGACAAAGGAATCAATCCAGCAAGTTAACAACTCTAAATATATACATACATAACATTGGAGCACCCAGATTCACAAAGCAAGTATTAGTAGATCTAATGGAGCAACAGGCTTCAAAACAGTAGTAGTGAGAAACTTTAACACACCACTCTCGGTATATGACGATCATCTCATGAGAAAATCAACACAGAAACATTGAATTTAAACTGTACTTTAGGCCCAATGAACCTAACAGTCATATACAGAACATTTTATCCAATAACTGTAGAACCTACCTTTTTCCAACTGCAAAAGGAACATTCTCCAGGATAGACCCATATATTGAGTACAACAAATGTTAAAAAATGGAAATATCAAGAATCATCTGAGACAAGAGAAATTTGGTGAACTATATGGATACATGTAAATTTTAAAATACATTCCTGAACAACCATAGGGTCAATGAGGAAATACTAAAAAAAATTTTAAAATTCTTGAAACAAATGAAAATGGAAACACAGCATGCTAAAACCTATGGGATGTAGTAAAAATAGTAGTGAGAGGGAAATTTATAGCAATAAAATGCCTATATAAAAATAGATTTTAAGTAAACAATATAACAATAAATTTTAAGAAGGTAGAAAAGAACAAACCAAACTGAAAATTAGCAGAGGAAAAATATCAGAGCAGAGCTAATTGAAATAGAGGCTTAAAAAATACAAAGGAGCAATAAAATGAAAAGTGGGTTCTTTAAAAAGATAAACAAAATTGATAAACTGCTAGATAGACTAACTGAGACAAAGAGAAGACCCAATAAAATCAGAAATGAAAAATTAGACTTTACAGTTGATACCAGAGAAATAAAAAAATCAAAGATTAAAAATAACTACACAGTGATGAACTGAAAAGTGTATTGAAATTGGATACACTCCTAGATACAAACAACCTACTGAGACTGAACAGTAACAAATAGAATCCATG